AAAAAAAAAAAAAAAAATGTGTTAAAAAAAAATTCCTGACATTACTGAATCTGGCATTTGGGAAATCTTTTCCATAAGTGTGGTTTTATAAAGTTTCTTAGGAATTTAGTGGTGACCTAACAGTCATTCAAAAAAATTGGGTTGATTAAAAATGGAAGTAAAAAAAATGCAAGTAGACGTATTATATATTACATTCACTTTAGTACATATTAAAATCGACTCTGCTTTCCAGAAATATAAGGGGTATCTGTGATAACTGTTAATTTTAATTTGGCACATATACTAGCATACACTAGAGTAAAAAATATGCCACAGATCTAGGAACAGTGTTTCCATATGGTGCTTAGGAATACATGCAGGAATAGAGTGTCTAGATTTGTCATGACTTATTAAAAAACAATTTAGGTGTAAAATAGACTTCCATATCTGCAGTATCTAAATGAAGCCAATGAAATAAATTATTTCTGTTAACTTTAAAGTTTCTTCCCCATGAAGATTAAACAACACATTGAATATTTTTTCCCTACTAGAATCAATACCAGTATGACTGGCTCTGGTGTCAGAACATTTTCTGACAGAACCAGGAAAATAATCATGAGGGTTGTGAGGGGAAAACCCAATGTTTACAAATGGAATCTGAAAAAATAAATGCTATTTCTTCAAAAGGCCATAATTGCTTATCGGTGTGCTTGGTTCTCTAAGGTGCTGCATTAGACAGCAATACAAATGTTCTTTTCCAGAACCTCACTGGAGGATATAGACCTGCTGCTTCCTCAGGTGCTAGCTCAATCAGCAGGATCACTCTGAATGTTATAACTAGGCGGCACAGTTTCCAGAGCAATGCTAAGAGTGGGTATATAAATAGGAGAGGCTTATAAATAATAAATAAGTTAGAGCAAGGACTGTAAATTAAAAAGGGAGTTATTTTAAAACTAAGGCATTTGCGAAAATAAGCCCAAACTACTTTAAAGTATGGTAATAACAATGTTACCAGACATTACATGGTTGAAAATCTGAATTATGCCATGTGTAGGGAAAGGGTTATTCTGAGAGAAGTAATAAAGAGACTGGAATATTCTGCAAACACTGGAAAGTTAAATATCTGAAGAAAGTTTCAACCAAGACACCAATAACTGGTGACAAGTTTTCTGACAGACCTAGCACCTGCTGTTGAGACTGTACCTCAAAATGTCACTAAAAACAAGTGAATTGGAAGAGGAATTTTGTTATATAGTTAAATGAAATGTAGACACACCAATAGAGTGAGTTCACTAAGGGGAAAAACTGCTTCGTTATAAAGGAAAAAGAGGTTATCTAATATAAAATCCTTAACCCTGTCCAAATATGATAGTTAACTAAAAGAGATCAAGGAATGGTTCTTTCCTTGAAAATCTGTCAATATGCACAACCATTGGCAGAAATATATAGTGACTCCAAAGGATTCTGGAAAAGTAAAAACCTTCTACTAAAGTTTCATCACCTGATGGAAGAAATTTCTATCAAGAAGTTGACAATTTCAGTTCACTGCCATTTTAGAACTATATTAATGACGAATCCTGATTAAGTAGAAATCATCATTTTATGATTTTCTTCCTTTAGTTAACTTTCTCCCTTAATTAACAAATCAACTAAAAATAATAATTCAAAAAAACTAGAATTTGGGGGGCACCTGGGTGGCTCAGTTGGTTAAGCATCTAACTCTTGGTTTCAGCTCAGGTCATGATCTCACAGTTGAGGAATTTGAGCCCCAAGCTGGGCTCTGTGCCGAAAGCACGGAGCCTGCTTGGGATTCTCTCTCTCCCTCTTTCTTTGCCCCTCCCCCATCCTCTTGAGGAAAAAAAAAAAAAAAGAAGCTAGTAGTTTTGAGTTTACCAGGCAATGTTGTAATACCTTACATATACTGACTCATTTTTTTTTTAATTTTTTTTTCAACGTTCATTTATTTTTGGGACAGAGAGAGACAGAGCATGAACGGGGGAGGGGCAGAGAGAGAGGGAGACACAGAATCGGAAACAGGCTCCAGGCTCTGAGCCATCAGCCCAGAGCCTGACGCGGGGCTCGAACTCACGGACCGCGAGATCGTGACCTGGCTGAAGTCGGACGCTTAACAGACTGCACCACCCAGGCGCCCCTATACTGACTCATTTAATCCACATAACAACTCTTTCAAATTGGTACTATTATCCCCATTTTTAAAAAATTTCTTTCTTTTCTTCTTCTTTTTTTATAATTTTTTAATATATATTTTTGAGAGAGAGACCAAACATGCACATAAGTGGAGGTGGGGCAGAGAGTGAGAGAGAGAGAGAGAGAGAG